GTACTCTTTTGGCTCACTTACCAGTTTGAAGTTTTGTGGCTGCTGCGGTAGTTTTTCTCTGAATGCGTTTTTACCTTACTTATCACCCTGCAGGGTGAAGGAAGCGTTTTATCTGGGCCCACCTACAAAGGACAAGCTACCCAAGGTTTAGTAGATAGATGACAAGTATAGTTAATGTTTTGATGCATATATCTCTCAAATGTACAATTTTAATTTCACCTGCAGAATTCTCCCCAAGGATCTGTGTTGGTGGGAGAAATCTCATATGGGAAAATGTCGTTTGATGATAAAGAAGGGAAGAGTCCAAAGGATAATCCTGTATCTTATCCGATATCATATGTGGTTCCACCAAATAAGGTATAAATAACCTACCATTTTTGGTCTATTTTACCTGGTAGCATAGACTTGTGATACTTCTGCAGTAATGCAAGACAATCTGGCTATAGGAGCTCATTTTTTGTGTTTAGCTTGATCTAGTTGTTTCCTTGTACACCATTTCTTTTAATGTTTTTGTGTTTTGTTTATTCTATAGCCCGAGGAAGATAAAAAGGCATCTTCTGCTTCAGATTGCTCTAAATCAGTATCAGAACGCTTGGAACAAGAGGTATAGTTTTCAGGAACATGGTTTATTATATTGGATCTTGCTCTACTTTATGGTCAATGTTCTATATACATAATCGAATCTAATACTGTTAATTAATGTTGAGGGGTATTCTTTTCTATTCTTGGGACTGTTTTACATAACCACTATCTTGTAATTAGGTTCGCGACACAAAGATTAAGTTTCTTGGGAGCCTTAAACAAGAAACTGAGGAAGAACGTTCAGAGTGGAGAAAGTTGTGTGCCTGTCTCAAGGTTTGCCAACAGGCGTTCCTTTTTCTTTTGAATAATGATTTGTGCCATTTTAACTTTGAAAGTTTTGAAAAAGGTATGCAAATCTGAAGTAACTGTTAGATTAATTTGAGCATATGTTCCTTGGCAGTCTGAATACCCGAATTATACTCCATTACTAGCTAAGATCCTGGAAGGTTTGCTCTCTCGGTCTGATGCTGGGGACAAAATCAGCCATCACGAAGAGGTAAAATTTCAAATGAGTTACTATCAAAATTTTGCACTACTCTCTCTAATTATACATTAAACAGAATACTCAACTTTAAAACACTGAGTAGCCTCTTACAAACTCTCAAGCGTTTGTAAGATGATCAGGGACATAAACATGTAAGCTGAATATCCTTCGTTTTGTTTTCGCAGATTATAGAAGCTGCAAATGAAGTAGTACGCAGTGTTGACGTAGATGAGTTAGCAAGATTCTTGCAACAAAAAAGTGAACCAGAAGATGAGGAAGCAGAGGTGTGAAATTATTTTAGTTATTTCATTTGGTTTACAAACTTGGTTTTTCATAGAATTCTTATCTATTTACTTGCTTTATTTACGGATTTGATAACAACACGTACTGTGTTAAATCTGAATTAGAAATTGAAGAAAAATATGGAGATGACACGTGATCAACTGGCAGAGGCACTATATCAGAAAGGGTTAGCCATGGCAAGAATTGAGAATTTGAAGGTAAGACCAACAGTTATCACACTTATATCTCCTGGTTAACTATTAACTAGTCTATCTGGCTAGAATAGAGTAACATGTTAGTTGGTGATTTAGCCTGATTACGCATGTGATAGGTGATGAATATAAGCGCATAAGAACTACTAATAGTGTCATTAGCATTATTTATAGCTAATTAGCATTATTGTTTGCAGGGTGAGAAGGGAGATGAAGGAGAAGAAGAAGAAAGTAGCCAGAAGGATAAATTCGAAGAGAATTTTAAAGAACTGACAAAATGGGTAGACGTGAAATCATCGAAATTCGGTACTCTTACTGTTCTAAGAGAGAAACGGCTCTCACGACTAGGGACCGCATTGAAGGTAAACACATTAATCTATTACTTATACGTTCGAAGAAACTGCAAATGATACTCAGCTGAAACCACTGATCTATATGACTGATAATGTGATCTTCAGGTACTTGATGACTTGATCCAAAACGAGAGCGAGATTGCGAATAAGAAACTCTATGAAATGAAACTGGGTTTACTGGAGGAACTAGGTTGGAGCCATTTGGTTACATATGAGAAGCAATGGATGCAGGTTCGTTTCCCTAAAAGTTTACCACTCTTTTAGTAGTTGTAGCTAAAGTTCTTGTTCAATAAAAGCTTGTCCAGAGCTATTGCGGTTAGTGCTTGTTCAATAAAAGCTTCCAAAACATATAACTTCGTTGTTTCTCTTAAACCGAGACTACTCTTTTATATGTCCTTATAAACTGTTATGCTCGTCGTCTATATTGTGATACATTTTTTCAGTAGTGAATCAATAAAATTATCGATCAAAATTACAATTTTTTTTTTTTCTCGTTTGCTTTTTTTGGGAGGCATCAGTCATAGGCTAATCAGTCATACTCACGTCAGTATAACTCATGATAATTAATATGATCGGTGCCATAGTCATCCAGTGTAGTAAAATATTTGTAATTTTGTATTCGCTGGCGAAGAGATTATATATGTGACGAATCGGATAAGCCTCAAGGAATAGGATCGCATTAAACAAGAGTAGTATAACGACGACCAATAAACACACTAGCTTAGAGAAGGTTTGTTTACTACAAAAACTCCACTAATAAACCAGTCTGGCACCACCTTAATAGCAGACTTTTTGATCCAGCATTTCAACTCTTGTACGGTTCTTTCTTGTCATAAAAACTAAATATATTCGATTTCTTTGTCCCCGTCAATTATTTTGGTATACTTGACCATTCATTAAGTAGTTAGCTTACTTTTACACTTTTGTAATCTCTGTAGTAGTTTTGTATTCGTCCTATCTACTTTTTCCCAATCCATTAAGGTTGACGTGTGATTCGGCTGGCCGATTTGTTTATAACTAAGTAATCCAAGTATAAATGGAATACTATATTATAGCGCATAAAAGATGTAAGATTACCTCACCAACCTACTTCCTCTTATCATCATATGTTTGGTAAATATAAAAGATAATGCCAACTCTGTCCGCGTTTCATGATCTTGTTTGAGATACACTGATAGATAATTATTGACCACTTTCTTCTGTAGTAGTAGCGTAGTGCTCCAATGCGTCATGCCTGATCCTTTTTCGTTTCGCCATCTATGTATATACTTATACACAGGGGCGGACCCACAGCCAAGGTGGTGGGGGCACCTGCCACCAGCATTAAAAAAAAAAAAAAAAAAATTATTAAAAAATTATTTAATATTATTAGAAAATAAAATCTGTCCCACCACAAAAACTATATTTCATCATTTTTCTTGGAAAGCCCATTAATCTATGTACCAAAAAAATATATATTAATATATAAATTAAAGACTTACTAATTTAGACCTAATTTTTTGTTATTTTCTTCTTCTTTAGTCATTTGGTTTCTTTGTGTGACAACAAATCAACAACTATCAATTTGTGAGTTTATTTTCCTGCATTTTTTACAATCGTTTCTATTATATAAGCATTATTTTTTAGTCAATTAATTTTATTTAATCAGTTCAAGCTTATAACTATGTTTCCTGGAAAACATTATATTGGTTTTTATGTTATACATGACTATATTAGTTTTTGCAGTGATAATTGTTTATATGTTTATTCTATGGTTAAACTTTTATGGAAGTTTGTTACATAATTCAAAATTTTAAAATTAATAAATTTTAAAATATAAGTCTATAAATTCAAAATTTTCTAAATTTTTAATTAATAACATGTTTTTTTGTTTTTAATTATTTGAATCTGTCACAAATGAAAATGTGGTAAAAATGTTTCAATTGTTAAATGAGCGTCTGAGTGGTTTTGTAAGATGTTTTAAAGTTTTTACATGACAATTTTATGTCTTTTATAATTTAGTATTTGATAGTTTTTTTTACTATATTTTTGCCCTCATTGAACAAATTTTTCTAGATCCGCCCCTGCTTATACATATGCAAGTGTTTGAAGCACAAATCCCACTAGGAGTTTTTTTTTTTTTTTTTTTCATGCGTTAAATACTTAGATTAGACATTAAAATGTTCATTGACTTGAGTCTATCAAAATGTCGATAATTTGACTGTATGTAAATTATATCGTTCAGTTAATGATACTTTGACAAAAAAAAATCCTAAATGTGATTTGTTTTAGTATAATTTCAGTTGAATACTCATCACATAATATGAGTAAATAATGCTTCATATATAATACGAAGTAAAACATGCTCAAAACAAAGTCGACATCATGATATTTACGTATCAAATTAATTACGATTTTTTTTGAAACGGAGAGGTCTATTACGGAATCTGGGAGAAAATCTATATAGCTAATCTAATTCGTAATCAAAAACGCAATAGTTAACAAATAAAAGCTTCGTCTAACAGATTAATTTTCACGTTACAGTAGTTTTAGTTTACGTGACTCCTCCTTCCTTCGTAAGTCCATCATGTTTTCTTCTTTTAGATTACTTTGTTGCGCCATCTTTGTTGAATTCATATTTTCATAATGCAAACTCATTATTACACTTTTGAACCAGGCATAACTAATAATACTTTTTGTTTTGTAATGTATTTGCATTAGAAAAAACAAATTCAAAACTTATCTTTAGTCATCAAAACCGAAAACGAAAGTCCGTGAAAACGTGAAGTTGATACACGAATCTATCTTAGAAAAATAGAAAGAAAAACAAGAACCAACAAAGTTTGACTTTTATGCTTCAGTCAACAAATAAGTTTAACGATGCTACAAAAGACTTTTTAAGATCACCGTGATCGGTGATTCCTCCTCTACAGAGCTAAATCTCGTCTAAAGTCAATTATTCAACTCTTACCATTTCTTACATAATCCAAAATTTACTCACGAGAATCATTTATTTGGTTTAACTAACCCCTTAAGAAAATGCTTAATAAAGGGGTTGGTGGTATTGATGATGATAAACACAGCTGATGGAGTATTTTGATTCACTACTTTAATGGAAAAAAGAATCTTATTAATAATAGAGTTCCTTCATCCTTGAATACAATATACAATATATTCCAAAAGCATCATATTCTCCTTCCCTAAACATTATTTGGTTTTAATCAAAACAAAACCTTTTTCATTTGTTAAAATATAAATTATATCACTGTGCCTTACTTGGCAAGGTAGGTATACTCTGTTCATTCCTGAAAAAGTTATCTGGATCAACCGTGGTTTTGATCTTCACTAATCGATCGAAGTTCTCTCCGAAATACTTTCTTCCATACACTTCTCCTTCCTTGTAACTATTCGTACCGTGATCGTTTACACCGATATCGACATCTCTGTAATTCAAGTAAGCACTCCTAGGGTTCTTACTCACAAAACCGGTCATGAAACTGTACAGAACCTTAGCCTGATTCAAGAACCCCTTCTCTATCGAGGCAGAGTTTTCTTTCCAGTTCACAGAGTACTGAATCTTGAAAAGATTGTTTCGATGCGGAAACGGTGTCGCATTAACCGCAACCTCCGCCATTTTCCCACCATACGGATTGAAAACGAGCCCAATTTTCCCCAACTCGATCATCTTCTTGAACAAAGACTCAATCCCATCTCTAGGCATCTCACTCGCGACGTAATCCGATTTCCTCTTCCCGAAACTCGCGGTATCGAGATTCCGATCAAGAAACACTTTAGGATCAGTCTGAGTAGCGTTTTCATCATTGTCCCACCATAGAGCCGATTGAATCCAAGTCATCTCCTCACAAACCTCCTTCTTCAACCCCAATTCAGGAAACTCCTTAGCAAGCAACGCAACAACTTCGTCTGCTCTGCCTAAGAACAGAGCAACCACAGTAGCTCTCACAGTCTTCACCTTCTTCCTCGTCACGGGTTGAATCAACATCCTCATAAACAGATTCGGATCTGTCTTGGGACCAACGGATTGCCATTTGTAAACCATATCCACAGCTCCTGAATCCATATACTGCTCCACTCTAAATACCGTAACAGTCTCTGGCACAGGAACGAGCTTGACCTTGTATCCCAACACAACGCCGAAGCTAGCTCCTCCTCCCCCGCAGATAGCCCAGAAAAGATCCTCACCCATTGCTTTCCGATCCAATATCTGACCTTTAACATCGACGATCTTCGCATCTTCAACGTAATCCACAGATAATCCAAATTTTCTCACCATGTTACCGTAACCAGCGCCGCTTATATGCCCACCGACACCAACCGTGGGACAAACTCCAGCGGGAAAGCCATGGACTTTGCTTTTCTCCCAAATTCCGTAGTAGACCTCTCCGAGAGTGGCTCCGGCGGAGATCCAAGCCGATTGGGCGGCGATATCGACGGAGACGTCACGGAGATTAGACATGTCGAGGATAAAAAAAGGTTTGTCAGAGATGTAAGAGAGACCTTCGTAGTCATGGCCGCCGCTTCTGATCTTAAGGAGGAAATTTAAGGAATTTGAGCAAACGACGGCGGCGCTGACGTGGCTGTCGGAGAGAGGAGTGACGATGATTGTGGGTTTGGGAGTAGAGGAAGTGTTGAATCTGGCATTGCGGATGTAAGCACGGAGGACGGAGGAGAAAGCAGGGTTTGTCTGAGAGAAGACATTGTCAGTGATTTGGGATTGTGGGGATTTCGTCTTGTCGGAGAAACATTGAACGAAGGATTCGTAGATAGAATCCGACGACGGAGGTGCAGCGAATGTGGTTGAGAAAGGGATAGATACGAGGAAGATGACAAACAAAAGGACGGAGACAAAGGTTTGTCCTTTAATCATCATCCTTCCTTGTAATGTTTGTGTGATTCGTTCCTTCTTCTCTATTCTCTACTTTATTTATAACCGCTAATCATAGGAGATAATGTTTTTTCTTTTTATCATTTATTAATCATCTTAACTCCAGTATATATATTTATTAAGCATAGTGGCATAATAACATATGGATTTTTATTTCTGTTTTGGTTTGTTAATTTAGAGTTATTTTAATTAATGGTCAACATTTTTTTTGGTCAAAGGTCGTAGTGATTAGCTAGGAACTGCAGAGGAAAAGTATCAAATTAGGCCTAAATTAAAGCAAATTAGATTATTTTTTCTCTGTCTTGATTTGATTTCACAAAATTTTATGACTTTTTTTAGTGGACTTAAATCAAAGTTATTTATACATATTTCCATTTAAATACAAATTAACCTTAACTATTAAGTGTAAAGTTTGTGTAACATATAGTAGTAATCAAAATCTATAAAATTTCATTTGATCCATTCACAAACATTTCCATTTTTTAATGAAAATCTTGAATCTTTTAATTATTCTTGCGACTTCAGATAACTTTATGTAGTTTCAAAAAAATAAAAAAAAAATTTCAGATAACTTCTAAAGATCTGAAAACGAGTGAGGCTCTGTTCATCTTATGAAGAGAGATCATCATCAGTCATCACTCAACGATTCAAAACACAACAAAAAGCAAATCGCAAGATTCTAGAAGACGTGTAAGACAACCGTGGCAGCTAGGGTGGCTCTGCCAGCTCGTGACCACCGTCTTGCGGTTCCCGGCTCAGGCAACAACGTTCCCTTTGCATCTGCGACCAAATTGGGTCCAAAAATGTCAACACTATACACAAAATTGCAGGTCACAAGAATCATCCATCAACTACTCCAAACCAAACCATCCACAATTATAGCCTTAAATTTGAACAGCAGGTAGCTATTTTCAACAATCACTAGTTTGGAATTCACCAGAACTTTTGACTTATTACATAGGCTTGTCGTTAAGTTCCATGGACAGAAAATATACAATCTACAATATCCAAAACAATGTATTCTATAATATGCTTCACTACAACATTACATTAAAGCAAAAGCCAATGGTTGTTATATCAAATGACAAATTGTTGTTTTATGCCTTACTTGGCAATGTAGGTATACTCTGTTCATTCCTGAAGAAATTCCCCGGATCAACCGCGGTTTTGATCTTCACTAATCGATCGAAGTTCACTCCGAAATACTTCCTTCCATACACCTCTCCTTCCTTGTAACTATTCTTACCGTGATCGTTCACACCGATATCTACATCCCGGTAGTTCAAGTAAGCACTCCTAGGGTTCTTGCTCACAAACCCTGTCATGAAACTGTAAAGCGCTCTAGCTTCATTCAAGTATCCCTTCTCTATCGCTGGAGAGTTTTCTTTCCAGTTCACAGAGTACTGAATCTTGAAAAGCTTGTTTCTATGCGGAAACGGCGTGGCACTAACCGGAACCTCGGCCATTTTACCTCCATAGGGATTAAAAACCAACCCAATTTTCCCTAACTCGATCATCTTCTTGAACAAAGACTCAATCCCTTTCTTAGGCATCGCAGTCTCGACATAATCCGATTTCCTCTTACCGAAACTAGAGGTATCGAGATTCCGATCAAGAAACACTTTAGGATCAACCTGAGTCGCGTTAAGACGGTTATCCCACCATAAAGCAGACTGAAACCAAGTCATCTCCGTACAATTCTCCTTCTTTAAGCTCAATTCAGGGAACTCCTTACGAAGCAACGTAACAACTTCGTCTGCTCTGCCTAAAAACAGAGCAACCACGGAGGCTCTCACAGTCTTCACCTTATTCCTCGTCACGGGTTGAATCAACATCCTCATAAACAGATTACGATCTGTCTTGGGAGCCACGGATTGCCATTTAGAAACCATATCCACAGCTCCTGAGTTCATATACTGCTCCACTCTAAAAACAGTAACTATCGATGGTACAGGAACGAGCTTGACCTTGTATCCCAATACGACGCCGTAGCTACCTCCTCCTCCACCGGTAATAGCCCAGAAAAGATCCTCACCCATGGCTTTCCGATCTAAAACCCGACCATTTACATCGACGATCTTCGCATCCTCGACGTGATCCACAGATAACCCAAATTTCCTCAACATGTTTCCATACCCACCGCCGCTTAAATGCCCACCAACACCAACCGTCGGGCAAACTCCGGCAGGGAAGCCATGGGTTCTGCTTTTCTCCCAAATCCTGTAATAAACCTCGCCGAGAGTGGCTCCGGCGGAGATCCAAGCCGAGTTCGCGGCGATATCGACGGAAACGTCGCGGATATTGGACATGTCAAGGATGAAAAAGGGTTTATCGGAGATGTAAGAGAGACCGTCGTAATCGTGGCCGCCGCTTCGGATTTTGAGGAGGAAATTTAGGGATTTTGAGCAGATGACGGCGGCGCTGACGTGGCTCTCGGAGCGGGGAGTGACGATGATCGTGGGTTTTGGAGTGGATGAAGTGTTGAACCTCGCATTGCGGATGTAAGCACGGAGGACGGAAGAGAAAGCAGGGCTGCTCTGTGAGAAGACATTGTCGGTGATTTGGGATTGGGGTGATTTGGTTTTCTCGGAGAAACACTTGAGGAATGAGTTGTGTACAGAGGTAGGTTGAGAGATAGATGAGAGAGGGAGAGATAAGAAGAGGAGGAAGAAGAAGAAGACGAAGAAGCAGAGAGGTGTCGTGAGCATTTTGTGTAAAAATGGCATCTTTTTCTTGGGTCTCGTGTGGCTCTGTTCTTTCCACTTCTCTGCCCTTATTTATAAACCAAAAACCAAACCGTAGGGAGAAGGTTTGTCTTTTTGGAAAGTATTTTATGTTTTTTTTTTTTATCGTTGCATAACAAAAATAAATTAGAGGGGGATTAGGGGATAAGATTACTGATTACCGATTTCTTTTTTTTCTCCTGTCTTTTTTATAGTTTCTATAGATTTAGGCGGACACTGAATCGAATAATCTACTGAATAGGGTGATAAAACAAGAGTTCTTTAGCCAATTTATAGGGTGATAAAAATTCATAAATCTAAACATTCTATTTAAAAGAAATAGTGAAGACCACATATTTAATCTAGGAAAACTCAAATGTATCTGAAACTTTATTAAATTCATTGACATATATGTTCATTTGGTTTCATTATAATATTTAAAGTTTTTATACATTTATTAAATGATTAAGTACGTTCATATTTAATATCTTCTAATCGGAAAACCGCATATCGTAACTCATACTAATCTCGGTTATTTATTTATAAATTACGAGTTAATTTATCAATCAAAAACATTTTATATTAGTCAAGACATAAATATTAGAGCAGCAACATTAATGGATTTTTAGAGTGTTCTTATCCTTAAGATTTGTTAAGAATTGGTCTTATATAAGAGCTATTTTTAACAAATCTTAAAGGTAAAAAACAACCCTAAAAATCTATTGATAATTATGGTCTTAGAGATTCACCTACAAAAATTAACAAGCCTAGAATCATATGATAAATAAATCCTCTCTATTTGAAATCAATTAAGTACATTGAGCCATTTGTTTTACAGTTACATCTATTTTTTGTGTCCGATGTTATAAGTCAATGGTCGTAGCATTTATTGGTCGGCGTCGGTAATATAATCCAATTGGGGGTATGTGGGACTGACTGACTAATAGTGGCCGAAGCAATAAAATGTTCAAAGGGAAGACTTTATAAAACAACGTGAGCAGCATTATTATCACCATATACCACTACTTTTTTTTTTATGTAAACTGTTTTATAAACGAAGCTTCGATACAATCTTTGCTTTTTTACTTTTTCGATTAAGTTGTAGGCTCTTAAAGATCCTTTCATTTTTTGTTTATAGTGAGTATTGTTGTTTAATTTGTCTCTATGTATTCATGTGAATGGAAAAGAGAATAATACTATCAATTTTGATATTATCAACAACCATCATAATTAGATAGAGACGCGTTGCAAAAATTTTAATACCTTCAAGTCTAATTATATGAAAATACATTGTACATTGAAGTTTCGTTCATTTTTGTCATCTTTGGTTTGCCCTCTGACTTTCCAAGTCTTCTCATGTATGTTTAAAGAACAAAGTCTTCTTTCGGTTATAAGACTTTGTGAAATAAAAATGATTTTTTTAAGAACAATATATATGTATACTATTATTATTCTGTTTGAATGGAAAACTGTAATAGTTGCGTAGATAAGATGTTTATATTACGTTGACAAAGTCTGTAAACAATTAGGAAAAATCAGTGGGCATTGGGCACAATACTGTGTTTAGGATAATACAAGTCTAAACGTAAATCCTAACTCTATTAAGTTGAAATATGAAAATGTAACAAATTCTATTATCGCTTCATTTCCGAATCTGATCTTCGTTTTTAACGTCAAGATCATTTCATAGGTTTTTTTTTATGGTACTGTATGTTATCATTTTTATATGCCAGGCTACTTTAATACTAGACATGTATTTTTTCAAAACAGTTGAGTTATTTACCAAAGAAACTTGGTCAAAACGTTATTTAATTTATTTAATTTTTGGTCAAAGGTTATCTACTAATTACACTATATATATAATCACGGCTAATTCAAAAACATTATGAATATATCGTTCATGAATCAATTCTTCCACAAGTTTTTTTTGTTCCTTTTTCCGTGTTGTTAATCTTTTATCTAATTCAGACCGAAACTAATTTAACTCTCTTTTTTTTTTTTTTTTACATCTCAAAATAAATCTGATGATTTAATTACAAACTACGAAAACATACGAGAATTCGTATATGAACTACTTTAACCTAGCAATTATGTTTTAGAAATCAGCCAAAGCTTCACCATCTTATGCATTTTGTTTGTCTGTTCGTTTTTATCTTCCACTTTAGTGACAAAAGAATATCGTTTTTTAAATAATTTCCTTATAATTATTGAGTTTAGTATAATCGTTTATTTGTCTCTAGCTATATGTATTTCCTTAATATCCTCCAAAATTCATGTGAATGAAACAAAATATTGACTAGACGTTATGAAATACAGACGTTTAAGAATTTGCATGAACCATCAAAATCAGAGATGATGACTCTCCTTAAATGCTTTTGACTAGTACTAATCTAGCTACATTGTAAATTGTTTTTCTTAATATTGTCCTTTATAATATTAGGGATGTACACGATACAAAGTCCATGCTAGTGCAATTTTCTGCATAATTTGTTTAGATTTATAGATCAATCGGGCGATTTAACGACTCAAAAAAGTCTAAATATAAACACTTAAAACCTGTAAAACTAATAAGATTCAATTGAAATATAGAGACAAAAAGATAAAGTTCAACTAAAAGCAACCAAAATGAGTTTTATTATAATGTCATGTCTTTAAAGTTGAAAGTGAAAGGGTTGCATTTGTGTGGCGTACATATTACATACGTTGTGACTTGTGAGTACTGATGCATGCGTTCACGAATTCATTCCACGATATCTAACGTGTTTTTCTTCGTTTTTGGTTTACTTCTCTCATGCCGAAAAGTAACATTTCATTGTTGAATTTTCAACAAAGTTCTTGACTAGTCTTAGACTTCTAGCCTGGTTTATAATTGCTTTGTCTTACATCATCATGTTATAATTATGAATAGTGCACGTACGTACTATGATTCGTGCATGTTTTGAATAATCGGATGTCTTGAAAATTAATTGGTACTTATAGATATTCCTTTAATATGTCATAATACAACTTATTCAAACAGACACAAAACAAATTTCGAATGAGTATTTTCATAAAAGCATAACAGCTATTTAATGAGATCGAATAAATAGATCAAAGATTAATCCTTAAAAAAATTGAAACTTTAGATTAGCGCCTTGTATTTTTTTTCTTCATCAGCTATGAGTGCATGACCACTGCGATTGCTTCGGACATCAATTTATTTTGTTGCTTCTATCAGTTTATTTCACGTGCAATAAACCATTACGTCTTCTCGAAGTAAGTAAATAGTCCAATGTTAATATTTGTGATCTAATCTAAATCTTCATCCGCTACCAAGTAAACAAAGTAGACGTTGGACTATTTACATTGTTTCCATACGTATTATTATGGTCTCGTCCCAAGCCCGTCACTCGATTACATTGTTTCCATACGTATAACCCATGAACAATAGCCCGTCACTCGGTTACATTGTTTCCAAGGGCAGAGGTATATAAGGATCATAGGGGTCATTTGACCATGTTGAACTGGCCCTTGTAAAATAACACAATTGACCCCTATAAAATTTTTTAATAACATAATTAATCTTTATAAAAAAATTTGACCCTTATGAACTGATTTCATAGCTCCGCCACTGAATGTTTCCATACGTATAACCCATGAACAATTCAGCTTGATCAGTATCCTTGTTCCATTATCAGTTTTCTTAACTTAAAACTGCTTGCTTCCTCTTGAAGAAAACGTACATTGTTCTTTTTGAGAGTTTTCTAGCACATTTCATAAGGATATTCTTGTTCCACACGTTAACGTGTCTGGATGGAATACAGTGAAATAATCTTGTAGGAAAATCCAATAAAGGATTTATTGAAGCTAATGAAATAGAAGAGACTACAATTTGAAATAGCTCATTTGAACTTTATTGTGTGAAAATGTAAAGAGGGAGTAGAACTTGATTAGATTTGTCACCAAAAACGCAAATGGCAAACTTTAGGTTTGATTTCATAAACAAGAAAGAGGAGTTTGAGAAACTCTCTTGATTACATTCCCTTGATGTTCTATAGACAAATTTTTTATACATCCCTATTTCTTAAAATTATATTTACATGGGCTAATGGACTTCTCATGAGACACTATCTTGAACTTTTTTTGGGATCTTTCTAATAAAAACCGTTTTGCGTTTAAACTTATTAATATCTTGGAAATTATAAGATTAAACTAGCTAGATATTATCATATTTTTCTTATATTTTCAACTAGAAAAACTTTAATCAAAATTTGAGAGGATCATATATAGCTAACCAAACATACACTTGTATAATAAAAACATACACTTCACTCTACTGCTCTAGCTCTCTGTTTGATTACAGAACAAAATCTCAAATATCTTTAATTTACATAACACTCTCTCGACTCTTTCAAATCACTTCAACAGATCTAAAAGGAGGAATGCTCTGTTCATCACAGAAGAAATCAGAAGGATCAACACTTGTCTTAACTCTCACCAATCTCTCGAAATTATTCTTAAAATACTTCACTCCCCAACTCTTCCCTTCTTCGTACTTACTCCTCTTATCTCCAACATACATCCCCAAATCAAGATCCCTCAGATTTATATAAGCTCCTCTCGGAGACTTCGCCACAAACTCACTCATATCATCGTAAACTCTCTCCACCCATCTCATATACTTCTCTTTCTCCTCTCCTCTCCAGTAATTCAAGTACTGAATCTCATAGATATTCCCCTTTCGATGCGGAAATGGTGTTTCGTAATCTGCAACCGCACTCATCCTACCACCAAATGGAGTGAAGATTAGCTGAGCTAGCTCTGCTTCCGGTTCTTGCAACCGTCTCCACAGCTTCGAAACCGCGGTTTCAGGCATTGGTTCTTCAACAAAATCAGATTTAGCCTTGAAAGCTAGTGACCCTCGTGTCCGTTTACTAAGAACATCTATAGGCTCTTCTCCTAACTCAGCAAACCAAACCACAGACTCAATCCAACTCATCTCTTTACAATCTTCTTCCTCCAAACCCAATTCAGGAAACTCCCGGTTTACCAATCGCAACAGAGTGTTAACCGGACCAAGATACAGACCCGGAAACGAAGCTCGAACCATGTTCTTGTATCTCTGCAACATTACTCGTATGAATAAATCATCAGAGATTTTATCAGACACGAATTGCCAACGGTGAATGATCTTTGAAGCACTCTGTTCTGAGAACTTCGTGACGTTGAAGACAGTTACTGTTGATGGTACATCGACTAAACCTATCTTCCATGAAAGGACAACGCAAAAGCTTGATCCACCACCTCCACGAATCGCCCAGAAGAAGTCTTCACCCATCTCTCGTCTTTCAAGAATCCTCCCTCGTGCGTCGACCATACGTGCGTCGATCACGTGATCAGCAGCTAAACCGTGTTTTCTCATTAAAGTACCGTACCCTCCGCCGCTGAAGTGTCCTCCGACTCCGACGGTGGGGCAAACTCCGGCGGGGAACGCTAAAGTTTGGTTCTTTTTGCCGATTTCGTAGTATAATTCCCCTATCGTGGCTCCGGTCTGGACCCAAACCGACCGGTTATCGACGTCGATTGTGATAGACCGGAGGTTGCTTAAATCGAGGATTACGAAGGGTTTGTTATGTGTAACGTAAGAGAGGCCTTCGTAATCGTGTCCTCCGCTTCGGGTCCTGATGTGGATACCGAACCGTCGAGAGCATTTAACCCCTGATTGAACATCTGAAGGTAGAACCGGTGTTAAGATTAAAACCGGTTTAGGTGTATGAGGAGCAGAGAATCTCGGATTCTGTATTGATGAAGCTAAGAGTAAGGAGAAAGAAGTGTCGTTTGGAGTGTGTATGACTCTTGAGACGATGTTGGAGTCGTTTAACCGGAGAGAGAGACATTGGAGGAAACCGGCTTGATCAGACCGGTTAGCTGAAACAAGATGAAGAATTGATAGAAGTAAGAAGATCAATATACAAGTAAAGAAGCTTTGGAGTTTCATAATTTGTTTTCTGTAAACAGTTAATGGAGTTTGCTTTTTAGGTAGAAAGATAGCAAAGTAGACAAAGTACTTTACTAGTTTTAAATTAGTTTTTGGTGGAGAAATTGAAAGTGAAAACATGTAAAGATAGAGTTTGGTACGTAGTTGTGGATATAGATAGAATCACACGTAGTGATCCAAATAATAATAGATGGATGTGATGATTGAATGGCATATGTCATGCACCAGTCGTACGTATAAGAGCTGAATCATTGAGTTGTAACTATTTTGGAATGATGCGAGAACTGTTTTCTAGTGTGTTAACTTGAACGAGGTAAGTCAATTCTGAACTCATAAAACGTGAGGTAAATTGTCATCTAGAAGTAGGAAAAATGTTATTTTCCGATCCTTCAAATTCGTAAGCTAATTTATAACTCAAACACATAAAGACTATCTATGATTTTCATCTTTTCTGGAGTTTACAATCTTTGATTTTGTTTCTGTTATAGATTTACATATATACATATTTTTCATTTTTTTTGTTAAAAGAATATTGAAATATTGATGATAATAATATTTTTGCTTATATTAGTCTTGAGAAAAAAAAAAGCTATAAATAAATACACAAAAGACTAAAGAGTCTTCATTATTCATTACTCATTACCCCGTGTGTTCTGTTTTGCTCTGTTGGCGTCCCTGTCTCTCAGTGGCGAGATCTTGGAACTGATATATTGTGTTCTCAAAGTAGAGAGGTTTGATGACAGATATATTTTATATATCCTTCTCGTGATAGAAACTTGACCTAGATTTGTCGGGTTCTAACTGAGTTTATCTCTGTCAACGTACGTAGAAACCCTAATTTTTCGTGGTCCCTTGCGCTCATAAGTCATAGCCACGAAATCGATTGACAAAAACGACAGTAAGGGGTCAGTCTCTTGTTCCTGGTTTATATAAGATGTTTGCTCTACTAACATCAAAACGTGGTGTGTATATCTTACTCGTTGGCCCCTATATCAGAGAGTGGTACAATGTTATATTGGTGATATGCTCTGTTTTAACTTTTGTAAAGTAATCTTCTTTATCAATGTAGATCGAGTTCGTATTAAACCCAAACATAATTAATAATACTCGGTTCCTCGTCTGCTATATATAGAGTATCTGGTTTGTTAACTCCATGGCAAAGTCAAACTTGGTGGTTGTGCGGGAGCCATTTGTCAAGTAAGTCTCTATACCATACAAGTTTTTGTCCAAACTCTTCATATATAATATATAGTGCCTTTATATCAATTTTTTTTTTTTTTTTTTTACTTTTGCAATCCATATGTTGTTTTGCATAAAATTTCAGGCTGGTGAAGCTTGTAGCAAGTGCTTTCTATGATAATTATACTCTGGAAAGTGATAAACTACAGAAATCTGCAAGAAGTGACAATAGAGGGATTGCCATTGTGGTGCTGCAAACGCTTACGAGGTTTGCATGGTTATGGGGATGTTTAAGTTTGGTATTGCTTGCTTATATTGGTTATTCACTGACTTACATTATAATTTCTGGTATCTTTCTTGTTCTGTGTCTATTAGGCGGCAATGGGTTAGAGAAGAAGACTTGGCAAAAGACTTGAAGTTGGCCCCCAAGCAACTTCGAAAAATATTAAGAAACTTTGAAGAACAAAAACTTATCATGCGAGTTGACAGGAAAGAGGTTTGTACGTGTAGAAACTATTATCTTCCATTCCATATTGATATATATATATAGCACTCATGGCACAATCTTGTTATTACGAAGCCTATGACTCAACGACTTTGCTAGTCGTAAGATAAATAGCATATTGTCATAAAACATTTTGAGTATTACAATGATTCAAGAACATGATCGTATGAGAGAATGAAAGGTTTAGTACTTGTTTCCTAGGTTTTTGTTTCTTGTATACTTCCACATTATTCATTAGGATTGTTTGCTTGTTTTACATCCCTTAACACTAATATTTCCTTACTCGAATATTTTCAATAGACTGCAAGGGGTACAAAGAAGAATAGTGTTTCAGTGGCTGCTACAACTAGTGGCCGAGCAGAGGACAAAGTTAAGGTCCAGATGCACTCGTATTGGTGTCTCGACTATTCACAGGTATGCTTCATGTCCCTTTAATTATTAAGTTCTCTGTTTTGATTTTTTTTTTATCACACTACCCTATATCACTTCTTCTCTCTTACAGATATATGATGTTGTTCGTTATAAACTGCACCTGATGAAAAAAAAGTTCAAAGATGAACTAGAAGATAAGGATACTGTTCAGGAGTATGGCTGTCTCAAATGCAAAAAGAAGTAAAGTCCACTACTCTTTCTATTAGAAAATCATTACACTGATGAACTGTGTTAGTGAAACATTGATGAATTGTGTTATGTTCACTAAACATGGATTCTCATTTCTGATATGTAGATACAATGCACTTGATGCCCTGAGATTAATTTCTATGGAAGACGATTCTTTTCATTGTGAAAAATGCAATGGTGAACTTGTTATGGAATGTAACAAGCTAACTTCAGAAGTAGTAGATGGGGATGACAAAACAAGGAGACAGCAGCGGGAACATCTAAAAGCTCTGCTTCAAAACATGGAGGTACATATGTCATATGTGTATACTGTTTTGGTGTCTCAGTTTAATAAATACTGTAGTATTCTTGTAAATTTAATGAAACCAGAATTGCTTTGCCTTGACCGAAGCTGTGCATAATTCCATATTCATCATGATGACATCAAAACTCATCATCTTAACTTCTTAAATGATGAGTTTTGTCTCTGTGATAGTTTTGTAACTTGCTGTTATTGTTTTAGTCTTTAGTTTTGCTTGGTTGGGGTTTTTTTCTTTTCTGTATCCTGGCTTTTGTATGTAGTTTGTGCGTTGACATAATTAGAAAATAACATGCAGGCTCAGTTTAAACCTCTGACGGATCATATAAACAGAATAAAAGACCTACCGGTTCCTAGCTTTGAATCTTTTCTGGCATGGGAGGCTCGTGCAGCTAAGGCTGCTCGTGAAAAGGGTAATCTTAACCGTGATGACCCTTCGATGTCACAGGGTGGGTATGGTTCAACACCGATGCCATTTCTCGGAGAGACAGAGGTAAACTTTAGTAACACTAAAGAAAAAAAGTATGCCAAAGTTTTCCCTCCATTTTTCCTCTTCTTACTGTGAATGGTTAGTTGATTTCTTGAATCTTACATGGTTAGGTTGAGGTTAACCTCGGTGAAAGAGAAGAAGCTGTCAAGTCTGAAGATAGAGATCCTAGTGTGAAAGTCTTTCCATCATGGCTGATCAAGAAAGGAATGAATCTGACTGAGGAACAAAGAGGAGTGATGAGACAGGAATCTAAGGTTGATCATGAAGGTGAATCAGGAGAAGCAGCAGAACTTTCGGATGACAAGAAACCAGCCATGGGGAATGGAGATGATGATAAGGATCCGAAGGTATGCCTTTAGGGGAAAATTATTTGTTTATATGTTTAGATTCTCGCAGTATCATTTTGTGGATTGTTGTTTCCATTTTGATTCAGGATGAGTATGTTAAAGCTTTATACGCTGCTATATTGGAGCAGCAAGAGCTTGCTGAAAAGCTGAAACAGCAAGAATCTGCAGCCAAATTAACCACTGACATTGAACTGGCTACTAGTACATCTTTTGATCGTCAAGTTGGTATGAAGTGTAAACGTGAAGAGGAAGATGATGAGGAAGAAGATGTCGAATGGAACGAAGTAGCTCCTGCTTCAGGTCAGTTTGAGTTTACTCTTACTTCGTTTCCTTGTAGCTTACTAGATGATATTTATATAACAAGGCATTAATAGGCCATAAATGATAAAGAGAGGGTTAGGTCTCATGCGTACATGTGATGCTCACCTTGGTTACTTTTAATTTCTTGATATGCAGCAGAGGCTTTGGGTGCGGAAGAAGAAGACGAAGACGTAGATTGGCAAGAAGGCTGAAAGAAAAATGGATTAACGATAAATCATAGAAATAGAATAATGACTTAGTAACTTTGTTTGTTGAATATCATTATCTACATTTTACATTCAATTGGCTACTACCACATCCTCGGATCTTCAGGTTGGTATATAAACTATAAAGTATAAACGTGAAGATATCAAATGGAGCGTACACAGTCCAAATTCTTTATTGATCATTGAATAATACTATCACAAAACAGAGACAATCCTACTATAAGGACAAATATGCTATGCAAATTATATGAGCTATAATGCATCCATGCTGACATAACTTTTTAATTTTTATTGGTTAAGTGCTCATATGAGTTACATTACACGAACAGGAGGAATACTCTGTTCGTATCTAAAGAAATTCTTAGGATCATACTTAGCTTTAATTTCCATCAATCTCTTCAAATTCCCCAAGAAGTACTTCTCTCCATAGATCTTAGCTTCTTCAACATTTGTCACTCCACTTGGATTGCTTCCGACATCGATATCTCTGTAATTCAAGAACGCCGCTCTCGGGTTGCTTGACACATACGGCTCCATCAAATTGTATATCTCTTTCATCAGACCGAGATTAGCGTTTGTGGCGTTTGCGTCTCCCCATAAGGCAAAATACTGAATCTTGAACAAGTTTCCTTTCCGATGAGGAAACGCTGTGGCATCCGCGGGAATCTTGTCCATCACTCCACCGTAAGGGTTCCATTGCATAAACATGTTGTTGAAGTTCAACATTATTTTCCAAATCTTCTCCATTACTTCTTTTGGGATTGGTTTCTTGACATAATCCGATTTACTCTTGAACAATGCTCCTGCCGGATTCGATGGTCTATCCAAAAGAACACTTATCGGTGTTCCCACAGGATAGTTCTGCCAAAACAACGTCGTATTAATCCAGCTCATTTCGTAGCAATCTTCACGCTTTATCCCCAACTCAGGGAGACTCTTGTTCATAATCGCCATGAGCCTCCTTGCCGAGCCTAAAAACTGAGCGTAGAACCTAACCGCGACAGATTTCTGGCTAGGTACCGCGCCAATTACGAGTTGAGGCATTGCTCTCAAGAAAAGCTCTTGTGGCAATTTGCTGGAGACAAGCTGCCACTTGTAAAGAACATCAGTGGCTCCTTGCTCCAATGTTTTGTTAACCTTAAAAACCGTCAAGGTCTTTGGAACATCGACGAGGTTGATCTTCCAGGAGACGATAACGCCAAAGCTAGCTCCACCACCGCCTCGAATCGCCCACAATAGATCAGCTCCCAAGGTAGCTCCAGTTAAGATTTTGCCGTTAGCATCAACAACTCGAGCATCAACGACATGATCGACTGAGATTCCGTATTTTCTCATAAGATTCCCGTATCCTCCGCCGCTGATGTGTCCTCCCGCTCCTAATGTAGGGCAAACGCCAGCCGGAAACGCTAGCGTTTTGCTAGCTTCCGCTATTTTGGTGTAGAGCTCTCCCATTGTCGCACCAGCATCAACCCAAGCTTGCTTTCTTGACACGTCAATGGTGATGGACCGGAGATCGTGCATGTCAAGAATAACAAACGGTACGGACGAGATGTAAGATAGTCCTTCGTAGTCATGACCGCCGCTTCGGATACGGATCTGGATTCTGTTAGACTTTGCACAGACCACGGTTGCCTGAACATGAGATTCATGTTTTGCAGCAACAATGGCGACTAGCTTTGTGTCGTTAGGGTTGGAGAACCTTTTGTTTTTGGCGTAGGACACGTAAGACGACACGAAGGTGGAGTTATCGTGAGTGTAGAGTGCTTCGTTGATCGGATTCACCCGACTGGTGCGATAACGAAGGCATCGGAGGAACTTTTCTGCATTTGGTTTCGTAACATGTGCATCTGATGAAGCCAAAACAAGAAGAACTAGTAACAAAACTGATACTATTTCTCTCATTTCTTTGTTTGTTTGAAGATCTCAAAAACTAGATAAAAAACGAAGTAATTACCCTTTGTTTTATGTATTTATAGTGATTTGACTTGTATAGGAAATCTGGAAAGAAATAAAATGTAAAGTTGAACTTCTTGGTCATATGAGTTTACATCTTTGAATATGAATATATGGAAACTGAAGTAATGACGGAAAGTTGAATACATTGAAAGATTTTCTTATGTTTTTAATGCATATCGGAAACGTAACGTAATAAGATGAAACTTCAGTTCATTTATTCAAGAAAAATAGTATAAAAATTGTGGTTATTTTTATGCGTAATATAGTGTAACTCTAGAATATGTACAATGACTTGTCCTCTCATCTTTGAATGCGTTACACTAGTATTGTCGAATAATGTGGCTTGCGTTTGTATTAGTGTAAAATCCTCTAACGATAAAGTCATAAAGATGTTTGAGTAAGTTTTGCAATCAAATTTTAATTTACTCGGTAGAAACGTAATGTTAATTTTGTGATTTTTATTCGGTAGAAAATTTAATTGCGACATCAATCTTTGGAAGAAATTTCGTTTTCCGTATAAATAATTTATGTTTAATAACTTATTAAATAAATGTTGAACAGCAGAAAAAAAAAAGTATATTCAACATGTCGTATTTTTTTTTTCACTCAACATGTAGTATATAACTTTAATATTTTAATGTGATTAATTATTTTTAAGAGAATACATAAATATATTTCTTTATCAACAAATTTATAATGTTTTAATTTCATGACCTTTTTCTATTTTTATATAATTACCAAATAAATAATGTATCTTATCAGTCTCAGACTCATTAGTCATGAAAGTGTATTATTACATGTAGATTTTGTTTCTTCCAGCAAGAAAGAGAAAAACTTTTAAACAAAATAAATAAGACCAAAGAAACAAGAAATGTATGTGAAAGTGATTCATATTACAATATTACGTACAAGTACAAGCAAAAACCATTGATCTGAATTATTGTTTTACCAACTTTATTTTTACCTCATGAACACGTACGTAATTTTTGGTTTCCACTACGTTACATGCACATACACAAAATTGGACCCATATAGTAACTATAGTTAGAAAATTCGTAAGATAGGTTGGTTTCATGACATCTGTCGGTTAACAACACACTTAATAAATCCATGTTTAGTAATTAAGCGAATTCATCTACATTATATTATGCTGATTCTTTCACAAATTTAACACAGATAATCATACTATGATTAAGGAAAAATATGTTATGCAAATATTACATAAGCTATAATGCATGCATGGCATACTATATATGACTTATCAAACAAGGGGGAAAAAGAACTTGAAAAGAGTTACATTGCACGAATAGGAGGAATGCTCTGCTCGTATGTAAAGAAATTCTCAGGATCATACTTGGCTTTAACTTCCATCAATCTCTTCAAATTCCCCAAGAAATATTTAGATCCATAGATTTTAGCTTGTTCAACGTTAGTCTTACCACTCGGATTGCTTCCAACATCCACGTCTCTGTAATTCAAGAACGCTTCTCTCGGGTTGCTTGACACGTACGGCTCCATCGCACTGTATACCTCTTTCATCAGACCAAGATTAGCGTCTGTGGCGTTTGCGTCCTCCCATAAGGCAAAGTACTGAATCTTGAATAAGTTTCCTTTTCGGTGAGGAAACGCCGTGGCATTCGACTCGATCTTGTCCATCGCTCCACCGTAAGGGTTCCATTGCATAAACATATGGTTGGATTTTAACATTATTTTCCAAATCTTCTCCATTCCTTCTTTTGGGATCGGTTTCTTGACGTAATCGGATTTACTCTTGAAGAATGCTCCTGGCTTTGATGGTCTTTCCAAAAGAACGCTCGTCGATGTTCCCACAGGATAATCCTGCCAAAACGTTGTTGTATTAAGCCAGCTCATCTCGTAGCAATCTTCACGTTTTAGCCCTAATTCAGGTAAATTCTTGTTGATAATCCCCATGAGATCCTTCGCTGAGCCTAAAAACTGAGCGTAGAACACAACCACGATGGTTTTATTGCTTGATGTCGCGTCATTTACATGTTGAGGCATTGCCCTCGGGAAAAGCTCTTGAGGCAATTTGCTAGAGACAAGCTGCCATTTGTAGAGAACATCAGTGGCTCCTTGCTCCAATGTTTTGTTAACCTTAAAAACTGTCACGGTCTTTGGAACATCGACGAGGTTGATCTTCCAAGAGAGGATAACACCGAAGCTTGCTCCACCACCGCCTTTAATAGCCCACAATAGATCATCTCCCAAGGTAGCTCCAGTCAAGATTTTTCCGTTGACATCAACTACTCGAGCGTCAACGACATTATCAACGGAGATTCCATATTTTCTCATAAGATTTCCGTATCCTCCGCCGCTGATGTGTCCTCCAGCTCCTAACGTGTAGCAAACTCCTGCCACAACCGCTAGCGTTTGGCTAGCTTTTGAGACTTTGGTGTAGAGCTCTCCCATTGTCGCACCAGCATCAACCCAAGCTTGCTTTTTGGACACGTCAATGGTGATGGACCGGAGATCGTGCATGTCGAGAATAACAAACGGTACGGACGAGATGTAAGATAGTCCCTCGTAGTCGTGACCGCCGCTTCGTATACGGATCTGGATACTGTTTGACTTTGCACAGACCACAGTTGCCTGAGCATGAGATTCATGTTTGGCAGCAACAATGGCTATAAGTTTTGTGTCCTTAGGGTTTGAGAGCCTTTTGTTTTTCGTGTAGGACACGTAAGATGACACGAATGTGGAGTTATCGTGAGTGTAGAGGGCTTCGTTGATCGGATTCTCTGAACGGGTCCGGTTGTGAAGGCATTGGACGAAGTTTTCAATACTTGGTTTTGTTACTTTTGCATCCGAAACCGAAACAATAAGTACAAGTAACAGAACAGAAACGACTTCTTTCATTGATTCGTTTGTTTGAAGATCTCAAAATATGTAAAGTTCAAGTAATATGTTTTATGTATGTATTGGGATTTTGACTTATAAAGGAAAAGAAAAATGAGAAAACAAAACTCTAAAAAGAAGATCATAAGTTTCATTATTGGAAAAAAAAAGGTTTAATTATTGGAGATGGGTTTACTAAAGCATATGAACACGTATGATAATAAACATACAACATAGGAAACTAAATTTTAAGGATTTAAATATATTGAGATTAGATGTTAAAACAGAGATATGTTGAAATTAAATTATAAATCACACATATAATGTAATAGATCTAAATTTTAAATTAGCCAAAAAAGGAAAATGATTTAGAGTTTTGATAAGAATTGGATGAATTTTAAATATTATTAGATATAAATTAATATATATATATATATATATATATATTAATAATACAAAATTATAACTGCTAATACTTTTATAACTCAATTATTAACCCAAAATTTATTGAAGGGCGGTAAGGGGGGGGGGAGTGTATTCAATCTAAAATTATAAAATCTTATGTTACTCAATCAAGTATTTTAAAAAATCTTATGAAATTTAATGTTATTGTACTAGTAATTTCAAAATGTAGTTTAAAATCTATTGTTAAAATGTTTTGAGAATTTGGGGTTTATTGATGTTAAAAGATTCTCAACGATTTGAGAAGATTTATGTGTTAAAAATATGGAATTTCACGGTTTTAGGTGGGATTTGAAAAGATTTTACAATAAATCAAACCAACTTCTTTAAAATAACCCAACATCACTCGGTATACAAGATTGAATACATCCTTCCCTATATTTAAGATTGAACATTTATAAATTTGACATTTTAATAAATTTTAGAATGTAAAAAGATTATAATCTATATAAATAAAGTTAACTTTTTCTCTCTTCTCCTTAAGCCACATCATCATCCTAATCATCATCTACTTTATTTTATTATTTAGTTTTAAGAATTAATTATATCATTTTATCATTTAATTTGATTTTGACATATCTAAATAATTTTTTCAAAAAGAAATATGAAAGGTCTTTTCTTATACTATATATTATCAAAATAAAATTATCATTGATTAAACATAAAAAATAATAGAATGTTTTATAATGAAGATATATATAAATTTAAAATAATATGACACAAAACTTAATTATATTTACACAATCTAAACCTAAATTAAAATGAGATTTAACGGAAATAGAACAAAATGTAAGAAAATTTAAGAATATAAATCTATCTAATAAACATAAATGAGATAGGTTAGCACAAAACATGAATTCTCATTTTAAAAACACATAAAAAAAGGTCACACTAAAAATAATATTTCTTTAATAGTTTGCAATATGAATTTAACTAATTTTTTCCAATACAACAAATATGGTAAACTAATAAACAAAACAAAAAATTAACAATATTTCATAAAAATTGAAAATTAAAACAAAAAAAACATAATTAAATGAAATGAACTATATATAAAGTAAATTATACTAATATGTTAAATTTTAAATTTTTTCCATATGAATATACGAAAAATATATAAAACAGAAAATCAGAAACAAATATATAATAGTATAAAAATGATTATAACGAGATATAAATTACGTCAAATCAAAAAAAAAAACGAAAAAACAAAAAATTAAATTATGACAATATACAAGGATAATGTAACCAATAAAAAAAAAATCAATAATCCAGTTGAAACCCACAAATCATTTTTAACTTTCAGCCCAATATATTAAAAAGGACCACAATATTAACATCTACATCTATATTTGGTAGGAACCCTAATAACACATGTTTTTCTATGATTCTCTAATGCACTTCCGTTTACATTCATATATCAATGCACTTCCGTTTACATGGACCTATACACGTTTAATTTCTCAACTACTAATGAAGTTAAAACTCAACAAGTTTTCTATACAAATACAATCTAATATTTTAAAAAAATAAAGTATGCTATAGTAAAAAAAATAAGTAAGAAATAAAATACGAACCAATTACTTATCAACAACATAATAAAACTACCGCGCGTAGCGCGAGCAACCGAGTAGTCTATATATATAAAGTTAGCTTTTTCTCTCTTCTCATGATGTCACCTAAGCATCCACCTAAGCCACATTTTTTTACATTAAAATAAATTTAAAACATTCATTTAGTGCATATTTATGCTACTTATTTAATTAATAGAAAATTTATATAAAAAAAATAAATTATGTAAATAAATGAAATTTTAAATAAGAAATACTTTCATTTTTTATTAGTTAGTGGTATTAATATAATTCAACTTTCATTTTAAATTGATCATAGTTTAAAATTTTATATGTGTTACTGAGTTTAAGAATGTAAGTAATTTTAAATTTATGGTAGAATAAAAACAACATTTATGAAAGGGAGAATTTCAAAAATACCCCTTTTCATATACCTCTTTTTAAAAATATCCCCTTTTCAAACTTTACAAAAAACCCCACTAAAAATGTTGAAATTTATTCGAATATGTGTGTAAGCTTATAAATATATACACAAATTACCTTTATATGTGTATAAAACTTTATATACCTTTCATAAATAGCGTAAAAATAAATTATAAAAACCTTATAAAAACCGTATAAACCCTTTTAAAAACCTTTTAAAAGCCTTATAAAACTTATAAAAACGATTTAAAACTATTTAAAACATTTTAAAATATTTGTATCGAATCTCCCAGTAGTAGTTATTATATAGAAGTACCTTATAAACTATATAAAACTTTATAATTTTTTATATTTAAAAAGGGATATTTTTGAAAATGGATAGATAAATGGGGTATTTTTAAAAAGGGGTACACCAAAAGGGGTATTTCTCAAAAATTCTCTTTATGTAATTGTATATATAAAATTTTAAAGGGAAAAAATAAAATTGAAAGTGAAATATTAGTTTATAACATGATCAATAAGAAAATGCTTTTAATCCAAATTTAAATATTGAAACATAATAATTCAAGATAAAATAACTATAATATTTTTTGAAAATCAATTAAAAAATAAATAAAATATCACAATATGAATAAAAAATTAACAAAAAAATTATAAAACTCCCGCGCGCAGCGCGGGTCAACTGCTAGTTTATATATAAGAATTTTGAGAATTTTGAGAAATATCACTTTTCAAAAATAGATACAATGAAAGAATTGTTCAAAAATAGAATATCTACTCCAAAACCTTAATTATAGGCAACTTTATAATAAAAATTTACGAATGCTTAGGAAAAGCAAATTATAAGATTTTTGGAAAATTAATCATAATAAAACCTTATAATATACAAAAATATTGTATCACGCAAATAGAACTGCATACAACTTTACAAACATTTAACATTCTTTTTATGATATGCTTTGCAAAAATAAATAAAATTTGATAAATCCATATTTTTGATATTTTTGAAAAAACCAATGGTATTTCAACTACCAAGCACAGTAGCACACGATGACACGATCACTAAAAGGTAGAAAATGGGCGCGGAAGCCTCTCTTCCCACTCTGTTTCAAAATAACCGCTAATAACTCAGAAACAACCTCTTTGCTTCTCTCTCCCTCCCTCTCTCATCATTTCAAGTCGAAACCAAAAAAAACGAAACCTTTTTCCCACTTCTTCTCTCCAATGGCGTCTTCTCTCTTCTTCTTCTTCGTCTCCTTCCTCATTTCATTATCATCAACTCTTCTTCCCGTCTCAGTGCTCTCAGCAACAGTAGTGGAAGATCTCGCCAATCTTAGTCCTCCTTCTGATTTCAATGCTACGATTGCCAATAACTGCCTTCGTGATCCGATGCTTCGTTACTGCAACAACACTTCATCCTCCCCAATGGACATTGTCGAGATTTTCAGATCCACCATCGTCGCTAGCCATCTCTGCAACGAGTCCAAGAACCCTAACTGCGTTGAATCTTTCCCTAGAATCAGGATTCACGGTCGTCCCAAAACCGCCGCTCTTTACCTCTCTTTCGATTTCTTCTGGAAGTACTGTCCTTTAACCGTCGTCGATATTGAGCTAGTGAACAACTCCCTCAAGAATTGTTTCCCGACAAATGTTCTGTCTTGTGCTCAGATTCGTACTCTTGATCTGAGTTACAACCAATTCTCTGGCTTTGTTCCGGTTCAGGAACTCTCTGGATTAACCAACTTGACCCATTTGAATCTTTCGTATAACCGTTTCTCTGAGAACAAGATCTCAGATTCTGACTTCTTCAAACGGTTCAACGCCTCTAGTTTCATACAGTCCGGTGTTCTTCCCAATGTCAAGCGTTACAAGATGAAAATTTTGGTCTTGTTGATCGTGTTTCCGATAATGGTGATTTTGCTCTGTTTTTGCTTCGGATGGTTATGCATCAAGAGACCTGATTACTTTCCAAGAACATGGCGGAGAAGCTACAAGTTCACATACGCGATGCTTGAAGCTGCGACGGATGAGTTTTCGGATCAGCATCTTCTGAGCACGACCAATAGAGTGGATATCTACAAAGGAACGTTAAGAGACGGGACAGAGACAAAGATCGAGGTTTACAAAGAGAAGGTTTCAAGTGAGAAAAGACGTGAATTCGGAGAGGAATGCGAGGCGGTTTATAAGTTAAGACACAAGAACTTGGTAAGAGTTTTGGGTTGGTGTAATAGCAGAAACTTGAGAGCTTTGGTTACAGAATGGACTCAAGGAGAAAATGTTGAGACTTGGTTAAGTTCTTCATCGGCTATATCATGGAGAAGAAGGTTAAGAGTGGTTTTAGGAGTTGTGGAAGGTATTTCTTATCTATCAGACCTATGGCCTGAGATTACATTTGATCTCACTACAAGCAGTGTTTTGTTATCCGATAATGATCAAGAGCCTTTAATTTCACATTTCAAGGTTGGAGATGGGAATAACACATCTACAAGTAAGGGCTTTCTTCTTCTTAGAGAATATTAAAATTTATAAAGGTTGTAAAAGTTTATATGTGTGTTGTTGTGTTGTTATTACAGATGTATTCAACTTTGGATTGTTTCTTTTGGAGATGGTTACAAATCTAAGACCTGATATGGAACAAGAAGATTCAGAAAGGAGGTATCTCGAGTATATAAGAGTTCATTATCCGGACAATCTAGAGAGAGTGATCGACGAGAAGATGACGATTGAGGAGAGACCATTTGATCAAGTGAAGCAAGCCATTACGCTTGGACTGATGTGTACTGACAAGCCACCACTGAAGCAACCAAGCTTGACGCAGATTTATGACTTGGTGGCTTCTTTGTACGAGTCTAGTTTAAGACATCACTGAGAGATAAGTATTTAAGTGCTTTATTTGCTTTGTTTTTTGATTTCCAGACATGTTTTAAGACTTACTATTTGTGTTAGGTAGCATTTTAAGGATTTAAGACATATTTGTGGTTCTCTTTTTTTCTTCTTCTTGATCAAACTGAAGTTCCTATGTTGGTAATTTGAAGAAGTGATATTTCTGTAAATGGACTTTTAGCTGAAACAGGTTTCATAGTTTTATGGGCTCCCATTTCGACCCGACCGGCTCTGACTAGTTGGCAAATAGGAACGTTGCCAACTAATACGACGTGACGTGTGACTTGTCTCGTCTCCATTGAAAAAGCCATCGACAGTGATCAACTTGCAAAGAAGTTTCAGTTTTAAAATTTTTCTTAATGACATGACAAAGTTGCAGCATTCATTCATATGAACATGAAAGAAAAGTAATACAAAACTACAAATGTCATTTTCGAATAATATATTCGACAGATCACAAAAAAGCGACCTTTTTTAATAAATATTTTCAAATAAAATGTGAAAATTATGGGTTCGTACATGGCGAGCCAGACAAAGTCAATGCCGGCAAAAACGGACCTCTTCACATAAATCTCATTTCTATAATTAGACTCACAATTTCTCAATCTCAGATTATAATTAACACTCTACCAAAAAACGAAGACGAAAGAAACGAAGAAGGAAGGAAGATAAAACAATAATGGAGAGTAACAACGAGAAGAAGAAAGTTGCAATACAATCATCATCGTTCAGACTACGTAGCCCAAGCTTAAACGCACTTCGTCTCCAACGGATCTTCGACTTATTCGACAGAAACGGCGACGGTTTCATTACCGTCGAAGAGCTAAGCCAAGCTTTAACGCGTCTCGGTCTCAACGCTGACCTCTCCGATCTCAAATCTACCGTCGAATCGTACATCCAACCTGGCAACACCGGTCTCAATTTCGACGATTTCTCAGCTCTGCACAAGACACTCGACGACTCTTTCTTCGGCGGAGAAGCAGATTTCGACAATGAAGAAGACCCTTCTTCCGCCGCCGCCGATGAGTCGGATCTCCAGGAGGCGTTTAAGGTCTTTGACGAGAACGGTGACGGATTCATCTCCGCTAGGGAGCTTCAGGCTGTTCTGAAGAAACTTGGGTTACCTGAAGGAGGAGAGATGGAGAGAGTGGAGAAGATGATCGTTTCCGTTGACCGGAATCAAGATGGTCGCGTTGACTTTTTTGAGTTCAAGAACATGATGCGAACCGTCGTCATCCCTTCTTCTTAATTCTCTCAGAAAAGCAAAAAAAACCGTTTTTTTTCTTTCCTAAAGTCATTATTTGTATTTTTCTCAGTTTATGTAACGAATGATTCAAACATATATTATAAACAAAAATAAACTTTTTTATTATATTCTTTGAGAGCTGAGCTTGAGAATGCGTAGTGGAGGAGGCAATAGGTACTTTGTTAATCTTTTGCGTTGTTGTAGAGAGGAAAGGAGTAAGCTTTCCGGGAAAGTTATACATGGGTTCATTGTTAGGACTGGATTGAACACTGATACTTATATATCTAACCGTTTACTGGATTTGTATATCGAGTGTGGTGATGGAGATTATGCACGGAAGGTGTTCTACGGAATGTCTCTAAGAGATGTTTATTCGTGGAATGCTTTTTTGACGTTTCGCTGTAAAGTTGGGGATTTAGAGGAAGTGTGTGAGGTGTTTGATGGAATGCCTGAGAGAGATGTGGTGTCGTGGAACAATCTGATTAGCGTGTTGGTGAGGAAAGGGTTGGATGAAGAGGCTTTGGCTGTTTATGAGAGGATGGTGTCTGATGGGTTTTTGCCTTCCAGGTTCACGTTAGCTAGTGTTTTGAGTGCGTGTAGCAAGGTTCGGGATGGTGTTTTTGGTATGAAATGTCATGGGGCTGCTGTTAAAACTGGTCTTGATAAGAATATGTTTGTTGGGAATGCGTTGTTGTCTATGTATGCAAAGTGTGGGCTAATGATGGATTATGGTGTTCGAGTCTTTGAATTTCTCGTGGAGACTAATGCAGTCTCTTTTACTGTGGTAATCAGCGGGTTAGCTCGGGAAAATAAAGTGTTGGAGGCATTTGAAATGTTCAGATCAATGTGCCAGAAAGGTATCCAGGTGGATTCCGTTTGCTTATCTAATATTCTCAGCATCTCTACTCCAAGGGAAGGATGTGATAGCCCAAGTGAAATCTTTTGCAATGTGCTCGGGACACAGGTCCATAGTCTTGCGTTAAGACTTGGGTTCGTCGGAGATCTTCATCTGAACAATTCATTGCTCGAAATATATGCAAAGAATAAAGACATGCATGGTGCAGAGCTGGTTTTTGCTGAGATGCCTGATGTGAATGTTGTCTCTTGGAACATAATGATAGCTGGATTTGGCCAGGAATACCAAAGTGACAAATCCATCGAGTATCTAAAGAGAATGAGAGATTCTGGTGTTGAACCAAACGAAGTTACATACATTTGTGTTCTTGGAGCGTGCTTTCGTTCAGGGGATGTTGAAGCCAGTAAGAGAATATTCAGTAGCATTCCCCACCCGAGTGTCAGAGCATGGAATGCTATGCTTTCTGGTTATTCCAACTATGAACACTATCAGGAAGCAATAAACAATTTCAGACAAATGCAGTTTCAGAACCTCAAACCTGACAGAACCACTTTGAGTGTGATACTAAGTTCATGCGCAAGATTGAGATTTCTGGAAGGAGGGAAACAGATCCATGGGATAGCGATAAGGACCAAGATTTCTAAGAACAGTCACATAGTTAGTGGTCTTATTGCAGTCTACTCGGAATGTGAGAAAATAGAGATATCTGAATCTGTCTTTGATGATTGTAACACCGAATTGGATATTGCTTGTTGGAACTCGATGATCTCAGGTCTTAGTCGCAACACGCTGGACACAAAAGCTCTAATGCTCTTCAAAAGAATGCAGCAGACTGGTGTCTTGTTTCCAAATGAAACTTCATACGCTATTGTACTAGGTAGCTGTTCAAGGTTATGCAGTTTGGTCAATGGAAGACAGTTTCATGGACATGTAGTGAAGAGCGGATATGTAAGCGATTCCTTTGTTGAAGCCGCTCTTACTGATATGTATTGCAAATGCGGTGAAATAGATTCAGCTCGACTGTTCTTCGATACTGTTACAAGGAAAAACACAGTTATTTGGAATGAGATGATACATGGGTATGCTCATAACGGAAGAGGTGATGAAGCTGTTGATCTCTACAGGGAAATGATTTCAGCGGGAAAGAAACCAGACGGGATAACCTTTGTCTCTGTCTTGACTGCTTGCAGCCACTCAGGACTGGTAGATACAGGGCTTGAGATACTCAGTTCAATGCAGAGAGATCATAAAGTTGAACCAGAGCTGGATCATTACATTTGTACGGTTGATTGTCTTGGAAGAGCTGGTCGGCTTGAAGATGCAGAGACTCTTGCAGAAGCGACACCATACAAAAGCAGCCCTGTTCTATGGGAGATTCTACTTAGTTCATGTAGAGTCCATGGCGATGTGAGGTTGGCTAGACGAGTTGCAGAGAAACTAATGCGTCTGGATCCTCAGAATTCGGCAGCATATGTGCTGCTAAGCAACACATATAGTTCTGTGAGACAGTGGGATGCCGCTGCAGCTCTTCAAGGATTAATAAACAAGAACAGAGTTCATAAAACTCCAGGTCATAGTTGGATCACATATGACAATGCTTTGGACTGATATTTCAAAAATAGCGTACGAAATTATTCAGTAATACACAATGTATATAGAAGATTAGACCATCACAATGATTATTATATATATACTCAGAAAGCTCTAAGCTTCTGGATACTCACTCCAAGTTATTCGATATCACTCCAAGGAAATGCTCACGAAACAAGAAAGCAGCAAAACTCCCGTCAAGTATTCAGTAGAATTTGAAAGAACCGACTTCAGTTTCAAGAAAACAATAGTATTCAAGCAAATCACCAAGGTATCTCCTGACCATCCCAAGCAAAGAACTTTCCGTTATCTTGTTTCTTTGCATTATTGATGATGTGCAATAACTTCTGAACAGAGTACTCTCTTGTGAAAAGCTTTCCTTCTGGAACATTCTTCTGAAATGGTCGAGAAAGATCAGTGTCTACTGTGCCTGGATGCAGTAGAATGCATACCACAGGATCTTTCCTCCTACCTAACTCAACCGACACATTCTTCGTCACTGCAAAAGCAACAATTGCGTACAGAAATTAATGGTTTTCTCAGTTAATATCAGAAGGAAAAATCGATAATCTTCTAAAATTGTACATTGATTGAGTGCGGTTTTTGAAGCCCTGTAAGAGTGCCAACCACCAAGTCGGTTATCTCCGATGGATCCAACTCGAGCGCTTAAATTGGCTACAACAGCAACTTCCCTCTCGGTTCCAGTACCTCCACCAGCCTTAAGTAGAGGCCACATATGCTGCAACACAACCAAAGACATCATCTTTTAGTCTTGTATCGAGTCCATGGGACTATATCCATGAGTAACCAAAACAAGGACTGCATAACTTCCTCCATCATGCACTCTGTTTCGCATAAGAATATCCGACTCTGGGGAATAATCTAAAGATAGTGTTCTTTACAAAAACATAGACTATTTGGAGTGCTTACCTTCATCATTAGAATTGGACCAACAGCGTTAACCTCATAAGCAAGCATCAATGATGATTTTTCAACCTTGTTCAATGTTGTTTCTGTACTGAGATCGAAAGGCAAAATTCAAATCGAGGATTTAAGAAGAGATATTTTTTTCACAGGCTTCTTTTGTTATCCCATGTTGCAGACAAAGCTGAAACTAACTTCTCTAACATTAGATTAGTCATACCTGGCTGCAATACGCCAGGAATGGAAAGTATACCAGCTGCATTTACAAGTAGGTTGAGAGAACCATATCTTTCCTTTACAGATTCCGCTGATTCCTAAAAAAATGATAACATTTTCAGAAACATGAACATGTAATAGTTTTGAGTAATGAGAAGAGACATATTTGAGTGTTGAGACAACAATAAACCTCAATGGTAGCTTCATCTGTAACATCAAGCTTTTGGATGACGAGCCTTTCAGAGAAACGGTTCTTCAAATCAGAGAGATTTGTTGCTTCTTTTGGATTTCGGCAAGTAGCAACAACATACCCTTTCTCATTGTTCTCCAACAACTGTCGTACCTAAAGAACAACGAGAAAAGAAAAAAGAAGCTAAACTAAAACCGCCAAATTTGGATCTTAGTTTCTGATATCAGCTGAAAAGTTCAAATATTCTTTTGAATTAGATGGATTAAGAAAGAGGCTCACAAATTCGAGGCCGATGCCTCTGGAAGCTCCCTGGACTAAGGAAACTCCACCTTCCCAATTGGGAGAAGAAGATGATGATGACGTGGCAAAACCAGACACGCTCATCCTTCTCAGAGCAGCCGCCGCTAACGACGGGGAAACCATCCACGCGCCACCGCTCTTCACCAGAATGTTCATTGAAGAAATTGATTGGATACTTTTTGCGGATGTGTGATTAAGATAAAAAGGATGGATCATTTCTCATAAATGCAACCACATTTCATAGCCATCGACACGGGAACTTAACTGCCATGTCCACAAAGATGGGGATAATAAAAACGCCAACTTTTTCCCAAATTCTGAAAATTCAAAAAATTTTAACCAACAAAAAATCTAAAATTCGGAAATCCAAATAATAATCTTTGACAAGCCAGTGGTGTAAGTGAGAATTGACAATTTATTAAATGTAAAAACCATATGATATGATGTGAAAAATGAGGTTTACACTATTTGCATAAATTTCCTTAGCAGGATATAGAAACTATAGAACAAAACTTCAAGCTGCAACAACAATACTTGCAATGTCATCTATCGACTATCATTCTGAACTTGCAGGAGAGATAGAAGAGGGATCACGGATATTGCCCTTAATCTTATGAGGTCACAGAGTTCGAGCCAACGTTTTGATATTTCTCTGTGCTTCCGTCCAGACCATTGATTTGTAAGTTTTGAGCTATACCTCCCCACACAATGCCCGCAAGGCTCTTCACTGCATCACCCCTGGATCCAAAGATAGAGACTTAACCCCAAAAGAAAAACAATTCCGGGATTCATTGATCCGTGGGAAGGGATCCAAAACTTGCATGGTTGGGTTCTCGGCAAAACACACCCATGAGATATTGAACTCGGACTTAGACCAACGCCCAAAAGAGCTTATTACCAGGAGGTCCAGGACTGAAGGAATATACAGTTGTCTGATCAAAAACACGTTCTCTTAGTCAGCAGTGCAGCTGAATGATTTAGCAATCCCAAACTTTAGTCATCAAGTAGTTTGCAACCCTTTTCTCTTAGTTTTGACTCCAGACCAAAAAATGCAATCCCTGAAAGCACCAAATCAGCTGTCTTCTTCTTTGTCTGCTCAACTAACAATTCATCATAGACTACCATATCAGCCTCTGTCATAATTTTGCGCTTTTTCAGCTCTGTGAAGACTTCTCTTGCGGCTTTTATTGTTCCATGTTTACACATACCGAAGATAATCGAACAGTATATAACTTCATTGATAGAGACACCTTCCTGGTTCATCTCATCTAGTACCTCCAGAACCTTCTCAGATTTATTCCCTTTGCATACATGACAAACCCTAAGAGCGTACTTAAACTCCATAGGACCACTTTCAACGTTTCCCAGACATTCACGAACTAATAACATCACTGCATCAATTTCTCCAATTTGGCATAGTCCTTTAGTAAGAGACAGATAGGCAGCTATGGAAGGAAAACAAGACATCGCGATGATTTTTTCATGACATGAACAAGCCTCTTGGACATCCCCTTTCTCAACGAAACAGCAAATTGCAATACTATAAGATGATGAATCTGGTTCAAACCCAAAATCCTTCATTTCATAGAAAAGTGACAAGCACTTTTGAATATTTCCCATCTTGCAAAGAGTTTCCATAAGAATGTTGTACACCAAGACACTACTATGACCTTTAGTCTTTACAACATCAAAGACATCTAAAGCCATCGTTCTCTTTTCTTCATCGGCACACAACAACTTAAAAAATTGTGAAATGTAATCTGCGAGAGGGTATCTTGACTCTCCAATACGTTCGAGCAAATTGGAAAAATCAATCAGTCTATTCATCACCACATATGCAACCAAAATGGGACTTAGTGTCTCAAAATCTGGTTCTAGTTCTTCATCGATTGCAATTTGGAAGAGCTTATAGGCTTTATCAACCTGGTTCACACTACATAACCCTTTAATAACTGCATTATATATCCCAAGATCAGCTATGTAACCAGAATCCACCAGATCCTCCCATAGATTGCAAGCAGATCTGACCTTCCCTTCTGCAACAAAACCTTCAATCAAAACCCTGTAGATCTCCCTATCAATCAAAATCTGCTTTTCCTTCATCTCCATAAACAATTCATATCCTCTTTCAACTCTACCGTCTCTACACAGACCCGTAACAAGTGTTCCATACGCCATTACATCCGGTTTGATCTCATCTCGTTTCATTTCATCCCAAACTTGTAAACTTGCATCCATGTTCCCTTCAGAAACCAACGTCTTAATCATTGCTGTATACGCAAAAACATCAGGCTTACACAAATTCGCCCTCATTCTCTGCAAAATCTCGAGCATCTCCTCGATTCTACCTGCTTTACACAACCCTTTAACCAAGATCATGAAAGTAGTACTCTCTTCCACCAACCCATCTTCTTTAAAATCCTCATAAACAGCCAATGCTAAATCAAAGTAACCATTTTTCACCAAAGCATCCATTATCCTATTATACAAGAACACCCTAGGCTTAAACCCAAACTTCTTCATCTTCTCGTAAACGTAATAAACCCTTAAACCCCTTTTATTATCAGCGTGCATTCTAATCAAAATCTCAAATTGTTTCTCCGACGGAGGTCTTCCCTGAGAATCCATAAGCTCAGGCAACTGATCCGCAGCACGAAAATGCCCGTTTCGATTAAGGCAATACGCAAAAGCATTGTAAGAAGCGAAGTCGTGTCTATACCCTTTCTGTTTACCAGCCCAATGAAAGAACTTCGCCGCAACAGCAGCATCGTTACCTAATTTCAAAACCTCGGCGACGATACTGGGCGTGACGCGGCGGAGTTTGTTTAGCTCCGAGACCACGGAGGGTCCCCAATGGTTACGATTCTTACGGAATGCGTCGAGCACGAATCTCGCGATCGGAGATAGACGTTCGGAGGCGGCGGAGATCCCCGTGGAATGTGACGGCGGAGAAGAAGAAGCTCTCTCCGACGGGAGATGGGATTCTGGATCCCATTTGCGGAGATCGAAAGGTGTTCGATGAGCGACGGCGTTGGATTGTGGTTGGGGTGAGTCTCTGGAGAGAGATTGGCGGTTGGAGAAGAGGCCACCGTAGACTATGGGGCGGTTCTGAGACGGCTTACGGTGGCCGTAGAAGAAACTGGGTTTAAGAGATTTGTCAGAGAGATTCGGAGGTTTTGGTGATTTCATTTTCGGTCGTCCTTCTTCTCTGTTTCCGTTTCTCACTTGTGACTGAAATCAAAATTACTCTTCAACTTCAAGCACTCAATACGACGACGTTTCTAAGTTCAGTTCAGACAGGTTCGGTTGGAGTATCGGTGGAAACCGGTTATTCGGTTTGATTTAACAATTATCGGTTAGGTTCGGTTAAAGGTATTACATGCTATGATTGGTATTTGAATTATTGATACATATATAGCTTATTTTATAATTTACTGAAATTAGGTGGGGGAGGTTTAGTTTTTAAGTTTATAACTAGTGACCGACCCGCACATACGTGCGGGGTTTTTCTTAAAAACCAAATTAATTGTGTAATTTTATATTTGTAGTAGATTATGTGAATATATTGATATAATTTTGCTCAGTTATATAAATAACTAATTTTATTAAAATTAATAAGTTTATTTTAACAATCAAATAATTTGGTACATATTTATGCAATTGATTCTATATTGGATTAAACCCATCTTTGGTCGATTATTAATTGAAACTGGGTTTGTATTCCTTTTATGCTCAGAAACTATATTTGTTTGGCCAAGGCCGAGTTAAGATGTCGCAGCCCATTTGAATTAATTGAATCTGCTACGTAATAGTGGATTTTTTTATCAAAAAAAAAAGAAAATGAATAACGAAAAGACAGCCGTCCAAAAAAACAAAAAACAAAAAGAGAAAAATAAATGTTGTCTTCTATCTCCAAATTCGGATCTGCTATCGATTTGTTTGAGGTGAATGAAATCTAGCTTTTGCTTAACAACAATTCCTGCTTGGATGGCAATCGAAGAACTTTCTTTATCATAAGGTAATTAACAACGAAATTGGTAGTTAAATCTGTACTCCTTTACAGATTGAAAACTATTTCTGATTTCAGTTCTAGAGTAGCTTCATCTTTGATTTTTGGATTCTAATTTCCTTTCGGTTATTGTCTTAATTCAATATGATATTTGTCAGCATCGTATAGTTACAATATGTCTTTAATTGTTGTCTATATCTTTGTTCTGAACAGATGGGACTTATAAAGTTTACGCACAACGACTTCGATTTCGTCGATATAGAAGACAGTGAAATTCTAATCATGATATATTTTAGATAAGTACATATAATCAATTGAAGTTTCTTATTGAATAAAACATTAGATTTTATAGTTTATATCTGAATCTGACATTATTCTTTAACGCAGATATAACTTGAAGATTAATCATTTCAAAACTCTCTGCTTTGAACTACGTCGGCTACGCTTAATAAAAAAAACCTCCATACTATCGGTTAGTATATGATTTCATTCTTAATCTCATACGTTCTACTAATCTTCAATTATGCCTAGTTTTGAGTAAGATTTCGTTGCACTTGTTGACATAGAATGGTAAATGTTATAATGGATAGATTGTTTATCGTGTGTCTTTTGGTGAGCTAAGTTTATTTGTTTTGTAAATCATGTTATCACTGTATATTTAGATAAAGAACATCTTCCCCTGTGGTAAAAAATTGAATTTAACAATTTAGAGAATTTAAACTTAATAAACCAAGTCTAATCTGTATCTTGTTAATAGATAATAGTTTGACAAACTAAAACAGGTTTATGAAAATGATCTTCTTCATAGTTTATGACAATTCATATTCTTCAAGTAGTATGGAAAAATGTTTGTGTTATAACTTATTGCCAATGCAACAAACTATAACCAAACATGAAAAAACCATACTACTTTATTGGATAAAAATCTTAAAACTAATATAAAAACGAAAACAAAGTTTCACTGCAAATCACTTTTAAGTAGCAGTAGCCTGATCCTTCTCGCCATCTTTTTTTTCTCCTTCCACGTCTCCAACATCGCCGAACTTCTCACCATCCTTTACTGCTCCATTTATTCCACTGGTGATTCCCTGTAAACTTGTAGTGCATTTGAAGCAAACTTTGTTTAAGTAGCTTTGACTTAAGTGCTGTTACTAATTCATACCCATATGTTTAAATCAAAAAAAATTCCACAAGTAAGAATTATAGTCGTTACCTGTCTTCATGATTGTAATAGAGAAGTGCTTGGCCTATAAATTCTGGAAAACTTCTTTAAAAACAACATTCATTGTTTCTTTCTGAGGTTTACCTTCTTTATCAACAATCAATACCTTCAGCCCTTTTTTAGAAGTCACCCTTGAAACAGCTACATAGAGTTGACCATGTGAGAAACATGGTCTTGGCAAATACAACCCAACGTAGTCCAAAGATTGTCCTTGACTTTTGTTAATAGTCATTGCAAAAGCAACAACTATAGGTAGTTGTCTGCGACGCATCTTGAACGGTAGTTTCGTGTCGGAAGGTGTGATCAATACCCTAGGTATAAGAACTTTATCTCCAACCTTGTCCCCTGTGATAATGATAGCTTCCAAAACAAACTCAGCTAATTGTGTAATCTGCAACCTTGTACCATTCATTAGCCCTCCTCTTGGATCTATATTCTTTAGACACATAACTGGGCAACCTACTTTCAACCTTATTTTATGATTGGGCAAGCCAGATGCCTTCATGTTGTTCAAGAAATCAGGAGTTAAAACTGGATTGTTCTCTGATTTCTTGTCAGCAGGGTCTATAGAATCTGAGCTTAGGTATGTTCTTTCCTCACCTTCAAACAATCAATGAGAACTATTAATTAACAGCAAAACGTTTTCTAACTATAATGTTTATATTCTAATAACTTATATGTAAAAATATTAAAAAATTCGTTTTACCTTCAAGCTGATCTAGCATATATTCATTAATAATGCCAACGTCCTCATTCGTTGGACATAAAATAGCTCTCTGTTGGAAGAAGATTGGATCCTTTTTATCTTTCAAGAGAGATGTATCTCCATAAATCTCTCTTGTTATTGCTTCAATAGGATTTGTAGCTTCCGT